GTTCCTCCTGTGGAGTGTGACTCAGTCACATGTGGGAATGGCTTGTTGGTAGCAGAGAGCAGTGGCAGCGTCCTCCCTTTGAGCCCAGCACCTTCCATCCTTCCCCAACAGAGAGCCTTGTCCTCGCAGCCCCTGGTTACCCGCTCTGAAGAGTGATGTTCTCTCCGACCACTTCTGCTTTCCCTCTTCACTGTTTCCCTCCTTTTATTCTCATCTCTGCTCTGCTGGTATCAGCTGCCCCAGCCTGACAGACCATTCAGCCAAAGGTAGAAAACTGGCCAAGTGACCTAGGACAAGCCACCAAAACCTCCAAACTTGAATATTAATTTCATCTGTAACACGGGGAATTCCATCTGCCTAGCTTGCCTAGATCTATTTGATAATGGATTTGAAAATGATACGGAGCTCTGCAAAAGAAGGTACTACCATTATTCCTAAGGGCTCCAATTCCTCTGGGAGTGAGCTTGGCCCCGTGCACGTTGCCGACCCCTGGCCAGCCGACCCTTCCGACCGAAATGTCACCAAAGTCACCCTTGGGTTTATTTGAATGGGAAGGCCAGGTGAGGCGGCTGCTCACACCCAGCCACCTGCTCACCTGTCCTCGTCTCTGTCCGTCCTCGCAGGTGAAGTGTGTGCGGTACTGGCCGGATGACACGGAGGTCTACGGCGACATTAAAGTCACCCTAATTGAAACAGAGCCCCTGGCAGAATACGTCATACGCACCTTCACGGTCCAGAAGGTAAGCGTCCCTGTGGCTGTGGGCAGCCTGTCCACTAGGTAAGCCAGCTGGTCTGTTCATTCAGGACACACAGTGACCGAGGTCCACTCTGCACCCATCTCATGCTTGGTCCCAGGGACAGATCAGCGATTGAGTTAGATGTGGCTCCTGCTCCAGAGGATCCCACCTCCAGCATTCATCAGACTAAGAAAAGTAATAATGGCACGTTGTGATAAAAGCCACGAAAGAAACATGCCACGAGTGGAGACGGGAGGATGAGGTGGTCAGAGAGGGCTGCCTGGAGGAGGAGCCATTATTAAGCAAATAATGAGGGGGGTGGACTTTTCTGGCGTGTTCTAGGCCTGTGGTTCTCAACTCAGGGTGGTTTTGTCCCATGGGGGACCTTCGGCAACTTTCAGTTGTCAAAACAGAGGAAGGAGGGGCGCTACTGGCCTCCAGGGGGTGAGGCCAGAGATGCTGATGAACATCCTGCAATGCACAGGATAGCCCAGCCCCAATTGCCAACAGCGTTGGGATTGAGAAATGCTGGTCTAGGCCCTGAAAGGAGGCCAGGGTGGCAGGAGCTTGAGAACAGGAATTGGATTGCAAATTATTATTCCTATTTATGATTTAATTATGATAGAACCATTGTTATTATATAACTATTGTAGTGATAGCTACCATTTAGTGAGCACTCACTAAACAGGTGCTTTTCTAACTGCTCTGTATAAATTAACTCATGTAGTCCTCCAACAACCCCTTGAGGTAGGTCTGATGATTACTCCCATTTTATAGAAGAAAAAAATTAGGCAGAGCGTTTAAGTCAGTCATGCAAAGTTGCCCAGCTGCATGCAGGGTGGCCGGACCAGGATTCATGCGTGAGCCCCTGGCTGGAAGCTCATTGTCACTCCACTCCACGTCAATGCCGCTTTCCAAAAGCAGCAGCACTCAGGGTCCAGTGGCCACAGGCCTGGCGATGCAGAAGCACCGGGGACTTCAGTGCCTTGAGAGCCGTGCCATCGGGGTTTGACAAGTCCTCCTGAGCACCAGTGCTGGCCCTTGCACGGTGCTGGTCCTGTGTGCACAGCTGAGCACTGGACATACAGGTTGCTCCCTGCAGCGCCCCCACTGGAAGGAGGACCACAGGTACATCGATGTGGTCTTAGATCGGGTTCTTCAGAAGCAGAGCCTGAGACAAGGATTCGGATGCACATGGTTTATCTAGGGACCACTCTGGAGAGAAACTTGTAAGAGAGGAAGGGAAGCAGAAGAGAGGAGGGGCAGTCTAGCCTGATTTACAGGGGCCTCCAGAGCATGAACCGTCCTATAGAGTTGACCCCTGGCCTCAGAGGATGGAGAGAAAAACTCCAAGCATTCCTGAAGCTGTTTTCTCTTCTCCCACTTCAGCTCTTCGGGAGGTGCCTTAACTCAGGCCTCTGTTCACTCCCGCCGGGTTCTGCAGCGGCCTCAAAGCAGGGCTTCCTGCCTCTGGCCTTGCTGTGTTGCAGTTTGAGTTTCCAAGAAGCAGAGCCTGAGGATAGGATTCGGGTCCCCTTGATGGTGTGCTGAGAAGGGGAGGGAGGGAGGCAGGCGAGGGCGGGCAGGGAAGGAGCCAGTGAGGGTGTTGGTCTCAGCTGGAGCCCAGCCTCAGCCTGGTCCTACCGGGAGCTCAGTGGCATGAACTGCACCACAGAGATTATCCCATCCTTGGGCAAGAGGCCTTTGGTACCCATTAGGGTAACCCATCATCCTGGTTTGCCCAAGACCCTCCTGAATTTAGCACTGGAAGTGCCATTTCCTGGGAAACCCCTCAGTCCTGGGAAGACCATCAAAGTCAATTGGTCACTCTACGTTTCAGCCCCAGCCAGGGGAGGTGGCTCCTTTTGGGTTGAGAGCAAGTCTCTGAATAAGTGGGTTACTCTGAGCTGTCTGCAGCCCACACTCAGAGTAGCCGGGGGGTGCCCTGGCCCAGGAAAGGGGATCTGGGTGGGTATCAACAGTGCCCTCTACACAGCCCTCCAACACACCCAGCCAAATCCAGCCTCCACAGAATAGCTGGCGTGATCCTCCCGAAATGCAAGTCTGATGCTTCTTCTGTGCCACCATCTAGGCAACCTCCCTAGGGCTCCCCAGCGCCTCTGGGACAAAGTCTAAAGGCCTGCAAGTGGAATTCCAGGCCTTCCAAGATCCAGCACCTGCCCCACCTCCCACCCGCAGTCCTGCTGTATGCCCTCGCCTGTCTTCCACTTTCCTCTGGAGTTGCCCTGGGCTGTTTGCGATTCTGTGCACGTCGTGCAAAGTCCTGTCCCCATGCTTTGCCTGTGCTGCCTCTCTGCCTAGGAATCCCTCCATCTCTTCACCGGGTCACACGCAGGCATCAGTGTGTCACAATGCTTAGGAGTTCAGACTGTGGAGCCAACAGCCAGGGTTCAGATTGCAACTTCACAACTTACTAGTTGTGTGACCTTGGGCCTGTTACTTAACCTTGTTTAGCCTCAATTTCTTCATCCATAAAGAAAGAGAGAACAGTATGAGGACTGGTATGACAATTCAGTGAATTAATACATGGAAGTGTTCAGAGAGTGGCAGGCATCTAGTCTATGATTAATAAATGTTAGCCATTATTTTCAGTATCAATATGTTTCAAGATACAGTTCAGGCATCACCTCCTCCAGGAAGCCTTCTCTGATTTCTCCACTCCCCAGAAGGGGTTAGCTGACACTCCTTTGTGTACTTTAATAGAATTATCCACTTGGGAGTCTACCTCCCTGACTAGATCATGAGCTGTCCCAGGGACAGAGGCTTTTATTTCCACCTTCCTAGTGGCCGGGCACAGATAACCCTCAGAGAATATTCTTTAACTGGAAGAATGAACAATTGAACATGCTTCCTATTCAGTGCTGTCCAGATATCTGCAGGAGACTGCTAAGTGGAAACAGTAGGTAGGGGCACTGCATAAGCAAAGGCTCAGAGGTATGGCCTGACCATAGAATAGTCATGGAACGTCACTTGGACTGGAGGTGTCTGTGTGAGGGGTGGTGAGAGGAGAAGGGACACCAAGCGGAGCTCTAGCCTGCCCCCCCACACACACACACACACACACTCACACACTCACACACACCCATCCGTCAGAGAACCTCCACTTTTACTTGTTCCATATCTTATTCTAAATAATAATCTAATTGATTACAAGCCTGCTAATTTATTTTAAAGCCACGGAAACTGTCATAGACAGGACTGGGAACTGAAGGACCCCAGACCAAATCACTGAAAGACCTCGTATTCCATAGGAAATGATTTGAACTTGGTGTTCAAGGCCAACATTTCTCTGAATCTGTTCTTCTGGATACAAGTTCCATGCAATACTTGTCAAAAGAAGGTCCTTGGGCAACTCTGGGGTGTCACAATGCCCGCCCCCCTCGGGGAGCCAGATGTATATTAGCACACTAAAGGCTCTGACAAGTCCTACAGTACTGCAGTCACTTTCACTTTACTTCCCAAGCTCCCAGATGTGGCAGACCACAGACCCTCTGTGCAGGGGCGCCTATTAACCCTTTGAGGGCCTTGCCTCCCCAACAGCAGGAGACTGGTTCCTCGGTGCCGCCGCCGTGGCACCCCGTGGCGCTGGCTAGGGTATATGGGGGCAGCAGCTGCAGGAACAGAGAGGCCCATTCTCTCCTCAGAAAGGCTACCACGAGATCCGGGAGCTCCGCCTCTTCCACTTCACCAGCTGGCCCGACCACGGCGTCCCCTGCTATGCCACTGGCCTCCTGGGCTTTGTCCGCCAAGTCAAGTTCCTCAATCCCCCCGAAGCCGGGCCCATCGTGGTTCACTGCAGGTAAGTGAAAGAACCCCAGCCGCCCCCCCCACCCACCCCCGCTCGAAAGATCTGCTCTCGGGGAGGGAGACACCATCTTGTCCATGGCCCCTGTCTGTCCACTGTGCCCAGGGCTTTCTGATAAGGCCCAGGTCCTGAGGTCTCACAAGAACAATAGCAGTGGTGGTAGCACTCATTGTTATCTCTGTTGTTCTGAAGTAGTAACGCCCCCTGGGGACAAGGGCTTGGCCCCGACAGCATCTTCTATATGTGCCCTTTACCCACATTATTTAACTTACTTCTCACCCGACACTGACAGGTGGGCACCATTATCGTTCCCATTTTACAGATAAGAACACTGAGGTACCGAGCAGGCAGACACGTGGCCTGGGTCACACAGGTGTACCGAGCTGGGACATCTAGCCTGCTTTCCTCCAGACACTCGCCCTCAGCTCTGTGAAGTGGGAGCGGGGTGTCTCAGAGGAAGTGACTTCTTTTCATTTCTATTATTTTAAAAATCAATTTCCAGCCTGCAGGGTCCCTAATAGAGAGAAAATGGACAGCGTCAGGTTTCACCTTATTGTAGAGAAGAGATATTTTCAGCTCCGAGCTGGGAAATCACATTGGGAATGACTAGCACATCTTTGAATCCTCCTAAATGGAGATGGAGCACTGTGTCAAGGACTTGAAGAATTGGAGGAGAGTGGACGTCCAGACCTGAGGGCTGGCTGGCCTGCGCCCTCCCCGCCTCCTTCCCAGGGACTCTCTTTTCCAGCGTGACTTTGGGCCAGCCCGTCCTTCAGGCCCTGCAGGCAGGCTATCTCGGCCCTGCCCTGGCACAGCCCCGTCAGTCAGGGACTTGGGTCAAGTCAAGGAGGATGTCTCAGAGCCAGCCCTTCCTCACGTAGCATCATGGCCCCTCCCCACCACGCAGAGGTGAGAATTAGAAATCCCATTTCACAGATGAGGCCATTGAGGACTAGGAGGTCATACACATCACACACCCTGGGCTCTCTGAGAGCTTTACATATAGTCTCCGCTTACCATCTCTTTACAATCCAATGACAACAGAATGTTAGCCCTCAAGTCCTATGGCCCAAAGTGCAGCCGGAGCAGGGCAAGGGAGACCATGGCAAACAGTTACAGGCCCTCCCTGCACGAGGTCTTGTCTCCACAGCCAGTCACCTTAATGCCCCTGCGTAGAGTGGCCCCGCTCCGGAGGCGCTTCTGAAGATTGAATGGGTGGTTAACATATACGAGGTGCCAGAGGGGATTCCGGACATTCTCTGCCTCTTACTGCTGCTCCCACTCCAGCCTGCTCATCCTGCAGGATGGGAGCCATGTCTCACTCATCCTCACGTCCCCACTCCCAAACCCAGCCTCTAATGCCTACCTAATAGGTGCTCAATAAATATTCGTGAATATAAGTAGCAACCGTTCACTGAGAAATTGCTATGTAGCCAGGCACAGGGCAAAGCAATTTACATGGATTCTGCTTTTTCAACATAATTTCATGCAATTTACACGTATTGTGCTATTAATGCTAGATGGTGGGTCTATTTTATTTTCAGCCTCATTTTAAAGATGAGGGTATTGACGCTCAGAGCGGTTGAATCATCTACCCAAGGTCACGACGCAGCTAGGAAGTGGCAGAGTAAGAATGTGATCCCCAGGGTTCTGACCCCCAATAGCATGGGCTTAATTGCTACCTGATGCTGAAATCAACACAGCTCGGTTCCCAGAGAACCCTGCACGGAGGTGTGTTGTACGTGGAAGAAAACTGAGCTCATGGGCGCCAGCAGCTGTTCACTAGTGAGGGATCCAAGGTCCAAAATCGAGTCAGGTTAGTTCTTTCCCCTCAAACAGGTCCAGGGTGAGACTTCAGAGAAGACCTGGCTGGGGCGGCTCTTAGACCCCAAGGGCCAGCCCCCCACGTCCCGTCCGAGGGGCCTGGATCGGTGGGGGATGGAGTGCTGTAGCGAAGTTCATTCAAACCGTGGCATTGTGCCCGGAGTGGAGACTGCTTCCCACAGGCTACTTTCCGGATCGAGGATGCGTTTCCAGGGCTTTGCTCTCCCATCGTTGTCGGCAATGGTCCTACTCCCTGTCCTGCTTGGATTCACGCTCAGCCAGCATCGCTCTCCTTACGGCCCATCATTCTTCCTCTTTGTGTTCCTTTCATTTCCACATTGTGAGTCAAGGACACTCGTCCATGAGGGAAGCCAGACGAACACGCAGCCGTGGCGGCCTCCCTGGCAGTCTGGCCTTCGCTTCCAAAACTGTGTGCCTCTAAGGCAGGAGTCCGCAAGCTACGGCCCGCGGGCCACATGCGGCCCGCCGAAAACAGTTATCTGGCCCGCTGGGTGTTTTTGCTGCCGCTGCCTGTCCTGCTTAGCAGCCGACTCGTCCCGGGCCCGCAGTGCACATGCGTGGAATGTCTGAGGGACAGTGAACTGGCCCCTATTTAAAAAGTTTGAGGACCTCTGCTCTAAGGCAAACGTTCCAGTGGCCTCCACTCACCACCATGACTTGGGAACCAGCACTGATCTGGGGAGGGCCGTGGTCCATGGGCTCTCCTTGATTTATTATTATTATTATTACTATTATTATTATTTGCCATTTTGTGCTTGGTCTGAGATTCTCCTAAGGAAGCCACCAGCCATCAGAATCGAGTGTGGATCAGGAGACCTGATACCAGACCAGGCTCTCAGGGCCGTCAGCTCTTTGAGTTCATGGAGGCACTGCCTCATGATCCAGGGGGAGCAGGTGCAGGGGGAGCCAAATCCAGGACTGGGACTCACTCTCTGCCTTTGGGACAGTGCAGAGGAGCTGGTTTCTGCCCTCTCACTCACCTGCTCTCCGATTTCTCTCCTCTCCTTCCTGGCTTCCATCTATCAACCCATTTATTGAAGAAGATAAAAGAAAGGGTGATATGGAGGGGGACAGTGGGGGAACATGTTTATTAGGCATCCGCAGTGTGCTAGGTACTTTTTAGATGGGTTATCTTTAGCCATCAGGTGAGGAAACTGTGCATACTTGAGTGTAAGCATGTATGTGTGTGTGTGTAAGCGTGAGTATGTGCAATGACTGTTATTAAGAAGGAAGTGGCAGAGCACAGACTCTGGAGCCAGACTGCCTGGGTTAAGTTCCAGCTGCAACACCAGCCGGCTGTGTGACATCGCACAATGTAAGTGCCCTGTGCCTCAGTTTTCTCACCTGTGAAATGGGGTGAGAAACTTCCTAACAACCTCATAAGAGAATTATTAATAAGTAGCATTGGTGAAATACTTAGACTAATGCCTGGTACTTTGCAAGTGCCAAGTGAGTGTTTGCTAAATGCATTCAACAAAAATAAGCCAATCTTGATAAAATAGCCCCAAAAGCAAATAGTATTCTCCCATTTTATAAAAGAGAGAACTGGGCTTGCAGTTTGATCGGAATCTCCCAGTTCTGACGTCCGCAGCGCACACCTCTGCAGGGTCCTGGCGACAGGGCTGCGTGTGAGGAGCCTCCCAGGGCTGGTCCCGCGCCACGGTCCCTGACACAGACCCTGTCCTTTCTTGCAGCGCCGGGGCCGGGCGGACCGGCTGCTTCATCGCCATCGACACCATGCTCGACATGGCCGAGAACGAAGGGGTGGTGGACATCTTCAACTGTGTGCGGGAGCTCCGAGCCCAGAGGGTCAACCTTGTGCAGACGGAGGTGGGTCCTGGGGCCTGAGCCAGCCGGCCACCTGCAGTCCTGGCCAAGGAGAAGTGTGGGTGGTGGCATCCTATAGAGAGGGACCTGGGAGTGAGAGAAAAGGCAGTGAGTGAGTAGGTGGCTTGCTGTGGTGAGACCATCATTGAAGCTAGGGCGCCCCTGCCAACCCCAGGGTCCCACAGTTCAGAGATTTTCAGCAATGAGGAATGGTGGCGAGTTCCCCATCTCTGAGCCCATCTGCACAGGGACTGAATGAATAGCATCGCCGACTTGGGTGAAAGAGAGAAGAGATAGGGAAGGACTAGCATGTACTGAGTGCCTAGTCTGTGCCCAGCATTGCTCAGTCACTGCCGGAATGGCTTAATCAGTGAACTTACTGAGAACGCACAGTCCCTGCCTTTGAGGTGAAGCAGGCCTTCAGGCACCCCTCTGTCCAGTTATTGAGCCCAAGACCCAGGGAACTGGCAGGGGCTCTTCATTATTGTGGACCACCTACTATGTGCCAAGCATCATGCTAGGTTCTTTGCATTCAGGAAACTGTTTCTGCTCCTCACAACAACCCTATGGGGTAAATCCTATTTGCACCCCCACTTACAGATGGAAAAACTGAGCAACTGTGTCCCCAAAGCCTCCCATAGCCAGATCACGGTAGAGCTCGGGCTGATGTGACCTCTGGGCATGCTCTTCCCCCTGAATCACACTTTCTCGCCAGGCAGCCTCTTCTACCGTTCCTACTCCGTGGAGCCTTGATTTGTTATTCCTGTAACTGCCCTCTTCTGTCTGAGCGACGCTGTGGGAGCCAGGACAGGCAGCATGGGACGCAGAGCTGCTTCTGTCGTCAGCCCTGCAGAGGGAAACTGCCCGCGGTTTGGGCTTGGCCAGGTGCTGCTGGCTCTGCAGGGAGGCCCCTGCTGACAGGCTTGTCCACGTAGGGCCCTGCTGTGGGCTCTGAGCCAGCTCCCACGGGCAATCCCGGCTTCTGGGTGAGGCTGCTAAGCCAAGAGGCCTCCTCCGGCCCCAGGTGCAGGCATGCGGACGGCTGGCTGGCATTGGACACATTGTGGTCCTTGCTGTCTGGTGGGGAGACGCACATTCAAATACATCATCTTTATGCATCTGGATAAGCATTTCATATAAAGAGCTGGGCCAAGTTCTGCAGAAAACAGTCACTCAGCAAACCTTTGTGAAGGAAGTTACAGTACCAACTTCCTCCTGGTGAATTTAGAGAAGACTTTCCAGAGGAAGCGAGACATTGAGGCATAGAAGGGGGGGTGGTGCCCAGGAGAAGAGAACCACCAGGTGCAGAGAGCTGAGATGGCACAGGGGGCATCACATGTTTTAGGAGCAGCCCCTGAGACTAGCGGTTGAGGGCAAGTGGATTAGTGGGAGGGATCCCTAGGCACACTGAGAGTGGAGGGGAAGCGGGGGCGGGGAACGCAAGCTTCCGGACCCTGGTTAAGGTGTGTGCCAAGTTCTCTGACACCATGTACACCTGGAACCAGCCCTGGGGACTCTGAGATAGTGGGGAGCACATTCTTCCAAGTGACCCACCGAGGAGAGGGGGACCTAAGTCTTCGTCCCCCTACTCTCCACCTGGCATCACTGGAGGCTCCTTCCTGGGGCATTAACTCTCCACCCTCGGGCTCACCCTGCACGCAGCTCAGCGGTGCCCCTGGGACCAGGAAAAGCCCTCGGCCTCAATGCCGGGCACCTGCATCAGCAGCCTCCAGCAGGTCACGGTGACCGCTGAGGGGACACAGGCAGGACACCAAGGGCACCTGCTGCAGCACGTCCACCGTGTCTGACTTTTACCAGTGACTGTGCTGTTCAGTCTCACACAAGGGACAAGAGTCACCATAGCTCAGGCAGCCACCAAAACACATGGAAACTTGAGCCTTCCGGTTCTAGGACGGAAAGTAGTGATTCTGCGATGTCGGTCACGCCCCTCCCCACAGCCACAGCGTGCAGTGTGGACACCAAAGTCCCAGCGGCTGCTCTGACCGGGCCCTGTTCCCTCTGCAGGAGCAGTACGTGTTTGTGCACGACGCCATCCTGGAAGCGTGCCTCTGCGGCAACACGGCCATCCCCGTGTGCGAGTTCCGCTCCCTCTACTACAACATCAGCAGACTGGACCCCCAGACCAACTCCAGCCAAATCAAAGACGAATTTCAGGTATGGGCACAGCTAGTCACTGGCTGGGCCACTCAGCGCTGGCCCCGTACGTGCAAGACTTACTCTGCAGAGCACAAGCCCTGAAATTCTCCAGCCCCCGCCCCGACCCCCGGGGTCTCACCCACCCTGTGCAGCTCATCCAGGCATCTCCATTCTCTACTTTCCCTCTGAGAGGCATGCTGGTAAAACTATGTCCCTCATTCGATGACACGTTAGGGGATATTTAACCCTCATTAGGGGTTCCTTATCTCTGCCCCCACCTTACGACCTCCTCCCTGGTCTGCCCTTTAGTGCAGCGCTGGCTGAGATGAGCAGCTTAGCTCAGCTGGTTGGCAGGAGGTGGGAGCTGTGTCGGAGCCCCTGAGCCCTGGCAGCGTGGCGGTGTCACAGCCCCTGGAAGGGGCTCTCGGCGCGCAGGGCTGGAGAGGCCCACAGATGACAGAATCGCCGCAGAAGAGAACCCGTCCTGGGAAGGGCACGGGAGGGCCCAGCTGGGAGGATGGAGGTGGGGGGAGGCTGGCTTTGCACATCACTGCCCCTCGGTTCCGGGCGAGCATCTGAGCTGTGTCTGTCTGTCCACCTTTGTGCCCACAGACCCTCAACATCGTGACGCCCCACGTCCGGCCCGAGGACTGCAGCATCGGGCTCCTGCCTCGGAACCACGATAAGAACCGGAGCATGGATGTCCTGCCTCTGGACCGCTGCCTGCCCTTCCTCATCTCGGTGGACGGAGAGTCCAGCAACTATATCAACGCGGCCCTGATGGACGTAAGCTGAGCCTCGGGGCGCGCTCCTGCTGGCCTCCGGGGGAAAGCCTCCCCCCAGGTGGGGGTGCCTGGACCCAGGGCCCTGGCCACCCTCCCCGGGCATTCTCTCCTTGCGTTTGATCTTGCTGGCCCCAAGGACCTTTGCTCCCCTGAAGGCTCTTGTCCAAACCCATGTATAAGCTGTGCTCTTGGCTCTTTTGCTCCCATAAAGTCTGGAAAGAACTGACCAAAAGCTTAAAGTGGCTCCCACGACGCCACAGCCTGCCTAGTCCCCCTCCTGCTGCCGACAGGCCGACTCTCCACCTTGAGTTCAGTGCTGGAAACATTGGACGTGCCAGGCCTTGTGGGCCCTGGGAGCACAAGGCGGTGAAGACCTAGGTTCTGCCCTGCAGGAGTGCCCAGGCAGGTTCCCAGACCACTCCTGTGCAGAGGCAAGAATGAGGGTGGCACCTCATAAGCGTGCAGTCAGTGTGGTGGGAGGCAGCAAAGGGAGCATGGAGGGGGCATGACTAGTCTGATGGGGCCCTGTCTCCTGTTTCTTTGTTATGGGGTGGGGCCACAACATTCGTAACAAAGAAAGAATTTCTGGAGGATGAAGCCCAGAAATCAGGATTTTTAAAAATTCCCAGGTGATTCTAATGTGCAGCCAAGGTTGAGAACCACTGGCTTAGAGCAGTGGTCAGCAAACTGCGGCTCGGCAAACCGCGGCTCGCAAGCCACATGCGGCTCTTTGGCCCCTTGAGTGTGGCTCTTCCACAAAATACCGACTTCTGCGCATGGGCCACGAAGTTTCAATCGCACTGTACGTGCGTGCCCGCACGTGGTATTTTGTGGAAGAGCCACACTCAAGGGGCCAAAGAGCCGCATGTGGCTCGCGAGCCACGGTTTACCGACCATGGGCTTAGAGCAGCCGTGGGCAAACTACGGCCCGCGGGCCGGATCCGGCCCGTTTGAAATGAATAAAACTATTGAAATAAAAGACCGTACCCTTTTATGTAATGATGTTTACTTTGAATTTATATTAGTTCACACAAACACTCCATCCATGCTTTTGTTCCGGCCCTCCGTTCCAGTTTAAGAACCCATTGTGGCCCTCGAGTCAAAAAGTTTGCCCACCCCTGGCTTAGAGCATTCCAAAGTCAAGGTGTTGCATATGTACATATGTATATATGTTTGTGTGATAAAGTGTGGAGCCTGGGGGTCCACTTGCACTTCCAATTTCTCCTAGATTTGTCTTCCACTTGTCATGGCTGCCTCTCCCTGCCTGCCTCATCCAAGCAAGGGTCAAACGTGCTCCTGGCCTCCACTTAGTAGGTTAGACGCTGCCTGGAGTCACAGGCCTCCGGCCAAGCCAGCTCTGAGGCTGATCGTATTCTCTTTGTCCGCAGGGCAGTTCTCCGGTGAGCCATCACTGGGGCCTTTGCCTTTCTTACAAAAAAAGAAAAAGAAAAGGTCCCTATCTGTATTCTAGCTCAGTCTGTGCTTTATCTGGTAACCATAGCAGCTTCGCTCCCAGCAGAAAAATAGGAAGTCCTCTGGGTTAATTTTTAATGTTTCCCTGGTAAAGGATGATGTTATCCATGAAATGGATTGCTGGCCGATCCCTGAAACCCGGCAGGAGCACGGATCTCGAACATATTTTCAGATAAGGCTTTGTCGGGTGTGCTGGCCTAATAGAGCGTTTATCAGAGAGACGGGAAAGGGAAGAAAACTAACATTCACCGAGTGCTGGGCGCGCGTCGGGCCCCGGACGTACACCGTCTCGCTCCTCATTTGCCTGTTATCATCCCCATTTTCCGGATGAGCCCTGAGTGTCAGGGTGTTTCCACGACTCTTTCCAGGCCAACTAGCTAAGAAACGATGGAGCCAGAGTCTGAACCAATTTTTTTACTCTGAAAGCCTGGATTCTTTTCCGTGGCTGCCAGTGGCCCAAAGACATGCTGTCTGCAGCTGGAGTGCAGCTTTGGGGGAAACTATTTTGCCCTCCCAGACCTTCCTCTGGCCATAACACTGACCAGGAAGAGGCCCTTAGAAGACAGGACCCCTTAGTGCACAGGTGGCATCCATGATTACACGGCTTTTTTTTTTTTGCCGCAAGCACACTGAGGGAGCACAGAATGGACAGGTGCTTTGGGTAATCTCGTTGGCAGGGTCTTCACCTGGTTGGGATAGGCGAGCTCCTCTCCTCTCCTCTCCCCACCTTCCTGCTGACTCCTAACTCCACTGAAAACAACTGGGACTCCAACAAGAACCAGCTCCCAGGAGAACTCATTGCAAACATGGGTTATTTCTCAGTTTTCACAGACCGCTGGTGAGACAGAGAAGCTCCCAATCTTTCCAAGCACCTTCTCTCAGGGGACTGTAATAAATAGGGCCCTGTCGAAGCTTCAGGAGTAGTCCAGACTCACCTAGGCCATTTCCTCTGGGCCTCAATTTCCCCATCTAAATATGGGGCTGAATTTGTTTGTTTGCTAGACCATTACTGGGTTTCAGTGTGCCAACACAATATCCCACAATGCCCATGCCAAGGTTGAAGAACCAAGTCAGGAGTGTGCCTGCCCTGACAGCGGGCTCACAGCTTGGTTCTTGCTTGCTGGTCTTTCACAGGCAAATCTCACTCAATATGTAGGACATCATCCATTTGGAGTTATGATTCCCATTTTGTAGATGAAGAACCCAAGATTTGGAGAGATCTAATAACTTGCCAGTGCTTAGCACCAAAAAAAGTCACTTTGCAAATGATGCCTGAATGAATGAATGCATGGATAAATGAATGCATAGATGAATGGATAGATGCATATATGAATGAAAGGATGGATGGATGCATGGCTAGATGGATGCATGGATGAATGAATGCATGGATGAGTGAATGCATGAATGAATGCATGGATGGATGGATGCATGGATGAATGAATGCATGGATGAGTGAATGCATGGATGAATGCATGGCTGGATGGATGCATGGATGAATGAAAGAATGGATGAATGCATGGATGGATGGATGCATGGATGCACGGGTGGATGGATGCATAGATGGGTGAATACGTGGATGAATGAATGCATGGATTAGTGAATGATGGGTGAATGCATGGATAAATGGATGGATGGATGACATAATGTACAAGCGGCAAAGCTGGGTTTGAAATCAGGTCTGCCTGATTTTAAAACATGGGAACCTTTCCCTGCTCCACTGGACACTCTAGTGCCCATCTTCCACCAGCCCAGCTCAGCCCTCCTTCCAGCCTTTGGCAGGATGAGCCTCCTGCAATAGAAGCCCCTCAGGATGCTCTCTGCCACGGGCTGAGCCAACTCCTCCTACAGGACTCTGGGCAAGGGACACAGATATCCCACTTATCCCAAGAGGAACCTTGGTCTGCAGAGAAGCAAATCTGCATCCAGAACCTTTCATTTCGGAGTAAAATGATGATTATTTGCTGAGCTCCAAGACACAAAAAATTTATTTGGATAATCCCCATCCGAGTGACACTTCCCTAATGAAATGTCCTATTTTGGAGAATGAGTTCATTATGAGACGCCCCTTTGCTGCCAGGGCACCCAGAGATAACAGAATGGCCAGGTGCTTTGTGTAACCTATTTGCAGGCTCGGGGCCTCTGACACCATCTGGGCCTCATCAGCAGTAGAACATCGCTGATGGGCGTAATTTATGAAGCCTGTGTCGTTCCTTTGCAGAGCCACAAGCAGCCCGCGGCCTTCGTGGTCACGCAGCACCCTCTACCCAACACAGTGGCGGACTTCTGGAGGCTGGTGTTCGACTATAACTGCTCCTCCGTGGTGATGCTGAATGAGATGGACACTGCCCAGGTAGGAGGAGGCCCAGCACTGCCCTAGGTGCTCAGGTGCATCAGGGCAGCCGTGCCCTAGAGTTGGAGGGAGAGTCCTGAGATCCAGCAGAGTGGGCCTCTGCCCCACCGAGCTGCCGTCTGATGGGCACGGGGGCTGTGAGCACCAAGCAAGCCCACTCCGCTTCTGCAGGGCACCTCCTGGCAGGCCCTGCACCCCAGGGCCCTCCATATCCCAGTATTGACTCCCACTTGTGCGGACTTTGTCTGCCCCCGCACCACCCAGCCTGACTCTGTGCTCTGTTCCCCAGGCTCTAGTTAGGGCCTTGTTCTGAGTCATACAGAGCTCACAGAGGAGGCTTCCGCCGCCCCCCGACCCCTCGCCCCCAGCTCTGAGGGTCTCCAGCCCTGCAGAATATCCTGGCCACAACCCCACCCTACCACCTCCACAACGCAGCCTGCGGGACAGCCTGGGGCTTGCACCTTGGACCCTTTGCCCACTGGCCTCCAAACCGAGGCCAGGCTTTGTCACAGGTGGCCCTCATGTCCAGCAGGCTTCATGCCTTGCCCCTCTGGGTCTGAGGGCGCCAAGCGTCATGTGCCTACAGCACCTCTCTGAGACAGCTTCCAGAACCCACATCCATGGCAGGGCAGCCACTCCTGGGTAGAGGAGGGGAGACTGGCCACCTCCTCTGGGGTTTTCAAAAGCAGTCCTCTCACTTCCTGAAGGAAACTCGCAGTAACGCAGTGCACCTGTGTGGGAATGAGATAAAGCTGGTCCGAGCTGTGGTCTCAGCCTCACAGTCTGGCTACAGAGACAGATGAGCAAATTGTCCCACCACACGGGGCAGCGCTATAATAGAGGTCAGCGGCGAGTGCTGTGTGCGCGGGGAACGGGGAGCAATTAATTCTGCCCACAGGGTGAGGGAAGGCCTCAAAAGGAAGGTGACTGTGGCCTTGAAGGAAGGCAGCAGAGATGCGGCTGTGGGGGATGAAGTCACTGGGAAAGGACATTCCAGGCAGAAGGAACAGCTGGGGCCAAGGCAGGGTGGGGTGAATGCGGGCAGGCTTGTCCACAGAGCAGCTCACAGCTCCTGTGCAGTGTGGCTGGGCCCCAGGGTGTGTCAGCAGGAGAAGGTGGTGATGCTAGAAAGCGCCAGGGCCCAGCTTGCAGAGGGGTGCCCACCCAGTAAGGAGCTTGGGCCTTGGCCTGCAGCAAGGTAGGTGGTGGTTGTTCTGAAGACTTTTATTTTGTATGCAACAGAATCCTTTCTTCAGATTAGAAGTTTCCATGCAAGTCCAATATCTGAAGGAGGTATGATTGAGACCTGCTAGCATTGAAGTGGGTGCAGGGGGCCTAGAGCTTCACCCACCTGGTCTTTTAGTTTCTCCAGATGTCTCTCAGAGAGTCACCTAATCTGGGTACCTTTGTGGAACCCCTGGGGTTCCTAGGAATACAGGATTGAAAATACTGTACAGGGAGGAGAGATGTTGAGAGATTGTGCAGTGGTGTGACAGAGTTCCTGTTAGAAAGCTGAGTCTGGGAACCAGTGAAGAGAAAAAAAACAAGGAAAAATCTGGAAACTGGGAGACTGGGGCAGAGGGTGTTGCCAGTGTGCAGAATTAAAGGGATTATCTGGCTGAACAGGTGACCAGGAGGCGGGAGAACAGAGGCTGGATGTGGGAACACTGCCAAAGCTGAAGTGCCCAGGTTTTGGGACCAGGTGGATGTGGAGGTGAATGAGAAGAAGTCATGGACAGGGTTCCAGTCTGGGTCATCAGGCATCTGGGGATGTGACTGGCCCCAGTGGAGAAGGCAGGGGAGGAGCTGGGGAGGGAGCAGGAAGGTTGGGGAGGCCAAGAGAGGCGCAGGTTACAGAAGGGAATGGAGTGTGACTTGGGTGTGCATGTGAGAGACATTCCGGACAGATTCCGCTTGTTCATTCGACCTTGTTAGCTGAGTATCTGCTGTTTGCCCGAAGCTGTTCTGGGTGCTGGAATGCATCCTTGAGCGAGACATAGGAAGAAAGCAGAAAACTCCCATCTCTCGTGCAACTTCTATTCATTTTCTTTTCATGGAATTTTTTAAATTTTATTGTTGACAGTATTACCGATGTCTCCCATTTTCTCCCTTTTTGCCCCCCTCACCCAACCCCTGCCCCACCCCAGGCCTTCCCCATGCTATTCTGTGTCCATAAGTTATGCATGTATGTTCTTTGGCTAATCTCTTCCTGTCCTCCTCCAACACCCCTCCTGCCCCCCCCCCCCCGACACACACACACACTGAGACTGTTATTCTGTTTCCTACTTCCATACCTCTGGCCCTATTTTGTTCACCAGTTTATTATGTTCTTTAGATCCTACTTATAAGTGAGATCATGTGATATTTGTCTTTCTCTAACTGCCTTACTTTGCTTAGCATAATACTCTCCAGGTCCCTCCATGCTGTTTCAAAGGGCAAGAGATCCTTCTCTTTTACAGCCACATAGTATTTCGTTGTGTAAATGGACCACAGCTTTTTTTTTATCCACTCTTCTACTGATGGGCACTTGGGTTGTTTCAAGATCATGGCTATTGTAAATAATGCTGCAATAAACATAGGGGTGCATATATTCTTTCTGATTGGTACTTTGGGATTCTTAGGATATAGTCCCAGAAGTGGGATCACTGGGTCAAATGGCAGTTACATTTTTAATTTTTTGACCCAATTCCATGCTATTTTCCACAGTGACTATACCCACCAGCAGTGTACTAGGGTTCCCTTTTCTACACATCCTCTCCAGTACTTGTTTGATTTATTGATGGTAGCCATTCTGGCAGGTGTGAGATGATACCTAATTGTCGTTTTAATTTACATCTCTCTGATGATTAGTGATTTTGAGCCTTTTTCATGTATCTATTGGCCATCTGTATGTCCTCTTTGAAAAAGTGTCTATTCAGGTCCTTTGCCCATTTTTTAATTGGATTGTTTGCCTCCCTAATGTTGAGGTGTATGAATTCTTTGTATATTTTGGAAATTAAACTCTTACCAGATGCATCATTGGCAAATGTTTTCCCATACAGTAGGCTCCCTTTTCATTTTGTTGATGGATTCTTTTGCTGTGCAGAAGCTTTTTAGTTTGATGTAGTCCCATTTGTTAATTTTCCCCTTTGTTTCCCTTGCCCTAGGTAATGTATCCGGTGAAAATACTGCTATGAGAGATGTCTGAGATTTTATTGCCTTGTAGGATTTTTATGGTTTCATGACTTAAATTTAAGTCTTTTATCCATTTTGAGTTTATTTTTGTGTAGCATGTAAATTGCTGGACTAGTTTCATTTTTTCTTTTTTTTTTTCTTTTTTGCACATACCTGTTCAATTTCCCCAACACTATTTATTGAAGAGACTATCTCTACTCCATTGTATGCTTTTACCACCTTTGTCAAATAGTAATTGGCCATATTGGCGTGGGTCAATTTCTGAGCTCTCTGTTCTGTTCCATAGGTCTATAGGCCTGTTCTGGGCCAGTACCAGGCTGTTTTGATTACAATAGTTTTGTAGTATAGTTTGATATCTGGTATTGTGATTCCTCCAACTTTATTCTTCTTTCTCAGTATTTCTGCAGCTATCCTGGGTCTCTTTTGGTTTTATATAAATTTTTGGAATATTTGATGTAGATCTGTGAAATATTCATGCAACTTCTGTTCTAAAGCAGGAGAGACAACAAAAACAGCACACTATAGTGTCCTTAATTGCATGTTAGAAGGTACATGGATGGGAAAAGAAAAATGAGAGGCTGATGAAGATCGGAAGGCTAGTTTGAAGCACAGGATGCCGCTGTGATAGAGTGACCCAGGTGCACCCTATGGAGAAGTTCATTCGAGGGGAGGTTTGGAGGAGTGAGAGGACGAGCCACATGAGCATCTCAGGAAGAGCATTCCAGGCTGAGGGCCAGCCCACACCAAGGCCTATGGGGGGCATGGCCTGGCCCATTTGAGGAACAGTTTGGAGGCCACTGAGACTGGAGCAGGGTGAGTGTGGGCACAGTTGCAGCAGGTGACACAGAGACACAGCAGAACCAGGTCACAGAAGGCCTGGGGAGGCTCCTAGGGAGAATTTTGGGTTTTACTTGGAGAGAAATGAGGAGCCACTGACAGGTTTTGCAGAAAGGGGTGACTTGAAAAAGTAACTCAAAGTTTTTTTAAAAGCAACCCTCTGGCTGCTGTGTTGAGAATAGACTGTTGGTGTGGAGAGGGGGAGGGTGGCTGCTAAGAGTGGAAGCAGAGAGAACAGAGAGGGACTTCGGCAATAGTCCAGGTGACAGGAGATGGTGGCCTCAACCTCCGTGGTAGCAATGGAGTGGGTTCTAGGTATATAAGATAGATCCAACAAAATATGGAAGTTGAGAGAAAAATGGATGACTCCAAGGGTTGGGCCCAAACAACAGATGGTTGGAATTTGAGATAACCATGAAATTAAACCAATTTCCATAAAACAAAGACCCTTGCAGAGTTCCAGAGTCAGAAGGTATCACCACCAGGTTCCTTTGCCTGAAAAAGTAAAACAGTGAGTGAATGCTGCTGCATGAGCCCGTGAGCAGAATAGAGTCAGTGAAAGCCTGTGTACTGTTCCCTCTTCCCAACATCCATTTTGTGTGTGTGTGTGCGTGTGTTTATTGTTGTTGTTTTATCTTTATTGTTGGAAGTATTACAGATGTCTCATTTTTCCCCATTGACCCCCTACACAAGTGATGGCAAACCTATGACATGCGTGTCAGAGGTGACACGCGAACTCATTTTTTTTGGTTGATTTTTCTTTGTTAAATGGCATTTAAATATATAAAATAAATATCTAAAATATACATCTTTGTTTTACTGTGATTGCAAATATCAAAAAATTTCTATATGTGACACGGCACCAGAGTTAAGTTAGGCTTTTTCAAAATGCTGACATGCCGAGCTCAAAAGGTTCGCCATCACTGCCTACACTCTACACCCGCTGCCCCCCAGGTCTTCACCACACTATTATCTGTGTCCATGGGTTA